TGTTATTGGTCTTGCAAACTTCTACTATATGATCTTTGACACAATTTCTACCATCAAGACCATATCTTCCCAGTGACTTATCCTTCTTCTTTGTTTCCAAATTTCATATTCCAATCAACAATAATTATCAATGAATCTTAATTGCATATGTGATCAATTTGAGACTACAGAATTTGGTAATAAATTTGGTAATAAAGAAATTTATTGATCTTTGGCACTGGTGCATACACTTGAACAACAGTCTTATTAACTGGTCTTCTTTGTAGGCATATGGATATGATCTTCTCACTGACAGCATTACTAAATTTTATCTTTGACAACTTCTACTTTTTTTGGAGTCATCCTTGCACAGTCCATGTTGTAATTATTAATGGATGTTTCTCATTTCGAGTGTTGCCACATCAGCAAATGAAAATCCCCAAAGCTTTATTCCATCACATCATTAATGTTGACTCCACTTTGCGGAGTGATTTGTTTTCCATTTTTGAATGCCTTCCAAACGGAGGGGCTCATCTTCTGGCACGATGTCAGACAATGTCCTGCACTCTTCAGACCACTCTCACCGGCCAATATTGTACACGTGGATACCAGATCCTTCCTCCTATATCTTATTCTGGAGGCCCCACTGTAACCTGTCTACCATGGGTGAGCGACCCTGTATATATGCAATGCCAGTGGCATAGCTTCTAGTATCACGGCAATGTGCAAGCCACCACGGTGTGACAAATTGGCAGAGGGATGATGACAGAAAGAGATCAGTGGCAGTAAATATTTCTCTATTTTAACCTGTATCAGAATACAAGTACTTTACACGACCTGACACTTCCTCAGGGTTTCTTTTACCATCATAACTTGTCCAACTTTCCTCCTCATAGGTCAGGGGTGAGAGCATTTTGTGTGATTACTAGATGGGATTTGAAAGTGAAAGGAGAATGGAAACAGGGAAGAATTTGTACATACTGTAGTTAAAAATCACTTGGTTTCCATGAGAATTCCTTGATGTGTTTCAAAAGTACCATTCTAAGTAAATTAATGTTGACTCTTAATTGTGACACCTGAGGTAATGAAGAACCTATAACCTTGACTCCCGTTTTTCTTTCTTATAAAACAAACAAACAAACAAAACAACCCCCCCCCCCAAATCCACTGCTATCAAATCAATTCTGTTTCATAGCAACCCTATAGGACAGAGTAGAACTGCCCTGTTGGGTTCCCTAGGCTGAAATATTCATGGAGGGAGGGAAGCAGCCAACTCAGTAGCTCACGGAGTTGAACTGCTGAATTTGTGGTTAGGCGTCCAACATGTATATCTTTGGGAGCAATAAGCGTGGTAGAATTAGTTGAGTGTAAATGGAATCATAATCCCAGTAAAACACACACACACACACACACACACACACACACACAATTGATTTTTTAAAAGAGATATAGTTCACGCTGCCAAAAAGAGACACTAAAGAGATTATATGCAGAGAACAAACACTCTAATCTTGATGTACACGTGGGGGGTATTCACTGATTAGCTTTCTGAAAAACTATTTTGTTATCTACTAAGTTTAAGGTATTTCTTATAAATTGATGGCCATGGGGAGGGTATATTCCAACGCCTGAATAAATCACCCATTGTTTCTGTGAACCCAACTGTTCATCTAGCTGATAAATAAGTGATTCACTTAGCCTTGGAGCACAAGAAAGACTTACCAGAACCATTAATTACCTTTCCCAATCAATTAAACATTGTACTCAGGAAGGGATGTAGTAGCCAGTTCTGGGAATTGAGAACAGACAGGTGGTGCACTGGTCTTGGCTCCTCAGGCTGATAGCCTGGGTATTATTTGATCTTATGTTCTGTTTTCTTGAAAAGACAGCCTGTACATAAAAATTCTGCATATCAAACAACACAGTGAATTCGTCTAGGAGCTCATAACATAAAGACATTCTCAGAGAATGTGATTTGCATGTTTTAAGAAAAGAATCTATTTTGCAATTTCAGATTTTTGTATCATTGGATATTTTTTCCCTTTAGTGTTCTGCTCTATGGCAAGATTTCTGTAAGTCTGAGTTTGTTAAGAAAAAACAAAACACAACCACATGGTTATCATGAGTGAAAATGGACTCGCGGCACCCAACAATAAGCACCTAGAAATAGCCACCCTTGTATGGTCTGGGAAACTGATTAGAACAACTTCTCTGGCCCCTCTACCTTCTCCAGAGTGATTGCGAAGAACATCAATGTATTTATAATATAACATTTGAATTGTTCCTTTGGGGATAAGATGGAATTGAGTCTCAATTCAGTACCAAAGCACAGAGAGAGATGATTGGTTATTGAAGATTCTTTCCCAGTTGAAATGAGGGCACACAACTGTCAGTGTGGGCTGTGTGGCTAAAAACATTCGAAACTGCAATTCTGCAAAACTGCGTGGATATTAGGAATTTTTCTTTGTAAGGGAAAGAATACCCTGTCATTCTACTATCATAGTTTGAGTCTTACTAACTTGGTATTTGTAACCGTTTCTAATGATAAACTTGATTCTTATTTAATATATTTGGAATTTACAGAAAAATCTGATAAATATCTAAACTAAGAATATATTCCACAAGTTCATAAATTAAGGATCCTTTTAACATTATACATTCCTGGACTCAGTCTTTAATTCTTGTTGACAGACTTTTATAATGTTTATACAAGTAATATAGGCACTCCATATCATCTCATAATCTCATTTCATATAACTGTTTATAGTCCTCTACCTTCTAGATTACATTATACAGCACATAAAAGCAAATGTCATTAACACACTGTCTATTTAGACTTTCACCTGAAATTGTGCTACCGGAACGTCTAACTTGAGCACTCTCTAATTCCTTCATGGAATGAGACTTAATGGAAAATCAGCTAGGGGGCCCTAAAAACAACGAAAGAGTTTGTGTTCACGATCTTCAAGTTTCCTCTGCCTGTAGGCCTGTTTGTGGCCTCTGGAGTCGGGCATAAAGGGGAGAGGTCTCTTGGGGATTCCCTCTTGGTTTACTACTGTGGTGAAGCTGCCGGCAGCTGCTTTCCCAGGCCCAGAAGCTTCCAACCAGGAATGATGTGCAATTTCACTCCCTTGTCTAGCCCATCATGACTTCCTGTTCTTTTTCTGTAATGTTTTTCAGATCTGCTCTTTCCTGTTGCTTTCCCAAACCTGATCCTAATCCAGGCTCTAATTACCTCACACACACCTGCACTCTTCCAACATCCTCTTTCCTGTCTACAACTTTTCCTCCCGCCAGGTTTTTTTTTCCTTCTTTTTTCTTCTTCCCCCCAAGTTGTTTGAATCTTCTTCCTTAAGCATCATTTCCATCACACTTCTCCAGCAGCTCCCAGTTGCCTCTTGCATCAAATCCCAGCTCCAGACTTTCTGCTCCAAAGCCCTCTCTCACTGCCCGGACCATCTACCTCCTTTCCAGCTGGACTCCACTTCAGCCAAGCAAACGTCCTGACACGATGTCTATACAATGCTATAACATCTGGTTAATCCAGTCGACTCCGTCAAATCTTCAGTTAATCATCTGGATGTTTTGTCTACAAGACGCCAAACATCTGGATTGACTGAGGAACTTCACTATATTGATGGAGGCCTTTTTTTTCCTTTTCCTAAATGGGATCGACCAGATGTTTTGGCATTGTGTAGACACATTGCTGTCTCCTATATTTCTCTTAATAGCCTGTCTGCACAGCGTTCTCTCCACCTGGAACTTGACCTGTCTCTTCAATGTCATGTTCTTCCATCCTTCCAATTTCAAAATCCCCTTTGCCACAAAGTAGCCACGGTTCTCAACCTTCTTAATGCCGTGACCCTATAATGCATTTCCTCATATTGTGGTGACCCCCAACCATAAAATTATTTTTGTTGCTACTCCATAACTGAAATTTTGCTACTGATATGAATTGGGCAACCCCTGTGAAAGGATCATTCAACCACCAAAGGGGTTGTGACCCACAGGTTGAGAACCACTGTTGTAGACAAATCTTACGAGACTAATTTCTTAGTTGTTTATACTTTGTACATAAATAATCATTTTCCAAGGTAATCACTGTGATTCATGGTTCTATTTTTTGGGTGCCATCTTCCCCTTCGGCCCTTCTAGATGACAAGTTCTGTAGGTTCTGTACCAAAAAACCAGCTAGTTGATGTAGTGAGAGGCTTGGTTGCCTAGTGGCCAAAGGTATAGGTTCTAGAAGCCCATCTTGTTTTATATTCTATTTCTTCTATTTTCCTTGTGACCTGGGCAAATGGCTTAACTTCTTTAAGTCTCAAGTCTCTTTCTCCTCTGTACAGTGCAGATAATGAGGTTACTTCATAAAATTGTTTATAAGAGGTAAATGAATCAATAGAGGTATAGTACTTAGACAAGTGCCTGGAATAAAGGGAAGTATTGATGAAATGTTAGCTCTTTTTAAAAAATCATTTTATTAGGGGCTCACACAACTCTTATCAGAATCCATATATACATCAATTGTGTAAAGCACATTTGTACATTTATTGCCCTTATCATTCTCAAAACATTTGCTCTCCACTTAAGCCCCTGGCATCAGCTCCTCATTCCCCCCTCCCCCTCCCTCATGAACCCTTGATAATTTACAAATTATTATTTTGTTATATCTTGCACTCTTAAGATTATTGTATTGTTGAAAATCAGGAAAGGTTGCCTCAGGGTTGTGCCATCTCACCATATTTATTCAATTTGCATGTTGAGAAAATAATCTAAGAAGCTGGATTATATGAAGAAGAATGTGGCATCAGGATTGGAGGAAGGCTTATTAATAACCTGAGATATGCAGATTATGCAACCTTGCTTGCTGAAAGTGAGGAGGACTTGAAGCACTTGTTGATGATGGTCAAGGGTGCAGTCTACCTTATAGATTGCAACTCAATGTAAAAAAGACCCAAATCCTCACAACTGGGCCAATAGGTAACATCATGATAAATGAAGAAAAGATTGAAATTGTCAAGGATTTGATCTTGCTTGGATCCACAATCAATGCTCATGGAAGCATCAGTCAAAAGATCAAATGACATGTGGCATTGAGTAAGTTTGCTGCACACGATCTCTTCAGAATATTGGAAAGCAAGGATGTTACTTTGAGGACTAAGGTGGGCTTGACCCAAGCTATAGAGTGTTTTAAATAGCCTCACATGCATGTGAAAGTTGGGCATCGAATAAAGATGACTGAAGAAGAGTTGATGCATTTGGATTTTGGTGCTGGAGAAGAATATTGGAAGTACCAGGGTCTGATAAAAGGTCAAGTGTATCTTGGAAGGAGTCTTGTTTTAGGCAAGGATAGTGAGACTTTGTCTTATATACTTTGGACGTGTTGTCAAGACAGACCAGACCCTGGAGAAGGACCTCACGTTTGGTAACAGAGGGACAGCGAAGGAGAGGCAGGCCTTCAAGGAGATAAGTTGATCCCTTGACTGCAACAATGGGCTCAGGCACAGGACCAGGCAATGCTTCCTTCTGCTGTACATAAGGTTGCTCTGGGTCATAACTGATCTGACGACACCTAACAACAACTTATGGCTTTTACTTTTGTCTAAGTGTGGCTTTTCTTTGCTACCGTTTCTTTTGATAGGAACAGAACCTCGTTAGGCAGATGTGGGAGCTGTTCTTGTTCCTATGTGACAGATAAGAACACAGGTGTCAGTGTTATATCACGTGACCATCAAATCAATTGCAGGGTTGAAGCCTCCCAGCTGTGCTTTCTACACAGGAAATCCTACCCCTCAACTCTATCTATTCTCAGGCATTGGAATATTGCTTTTTATAATTACTAAACACTGAAGGGACAAATAGAAAAGGGAGCTATTTTCTAATAGGCCAATGGTTCCCAAAAGTAGGCTACAGATCCTGGTCTGTTTATGATGAAGTGCCTTATTTTAAAGTGAGAAAAGGAAACAAGTAAGATTTTTCTAAAGCTAAATTTATTCAATTTTAAGATTGTTCCCTAAATTGCAATTGTATCTTTCCTTCCTTTTAACTGTTAAAATGTTCTATTTTTATGAAATTAGGTGATGTAAAATTGATAGCAACCCCTTGTGGGATTCCAACTTTTGATTTTAAATCTGTTTTAATTCGTTCACTGCAACAATGGGTGCAAACCTAACACCAATTGTGCCGCGGATGCAGGACCAGGCAGTGTTTCCTTCTGTTGGCCGTAGGGAGCGATGAGTAAGAACTGGCTCAGTGGTACCTGAAAAGAACAACGTACTTGATAGGCATGGTTCTAGTCACGTGGAACGGTAGTGAACCAAAATGACAAAATCTTTGCCCTCACGAAGGGTATTCTAGGGTGGGAGATGGACTATACACAATAAATAGAGCTGAAGTGTTTAGAGGTTAGTGGCGGTGTTAATAAAAGCAAACCAGGTAAGAAAGACTGAGCAAATAAGAAGTGGCTGGGTTGCGATTTTAAAGAGTAGGCTTTGTTGAAAAAAGTGCCAACTGCGCAGACTTGAAGCCTGACATAACTTGGTCATGCAGACACCTGAGGTGAGTGTTCTGGGTTGTGACAGCAGACAGTGTAAAAGCCTTAAAATGGAGGTCTTGGTAGTCTATAAAGGCTGATGGTTCTTTGGGCCAGGGTGGTGGTAGTAAGAGGTAGTAAAGATATTGTGGTTATCTATTGAAGGTAGACTCAACAAAATATTATGATGGACTAGATTTAAGAGTCAGATAAAAACAGAAGTCTAGGTATTTGGACTGAACTACTGGAAAGACGGCATTGCCAACACTAGAGATGGGGAAGAATGCAGTTCCACAACCGTGTTAGTGGAGGCCCAGCTGGGACTCAGAGTTTAGTGGGGCATTCTAAAAGCCACATGGTGAGTGTGCGAGATGGACATAGGCTCTACGTAGTCTCATTCAAACCTTTTCCAAATTAATTACATATTTTTGGTTGGATTCTCTGGTTGCTTGAAAGATAGAACACATTTAGTCAGTATGACTAACCTATAATCAATTCATTTATGTCAGTAATACCGTATAACCTTAGGATTGAGTTAAAAGTCAGATTATTTTTTTCCTAAATAATGTTATTTCCTCGACAATTGTAAATAAAAGAACAATTTATTATATATGCCACAATTACAGAGCAGAACCCATACACTGGCAGCCCCTTCTAAGGTCACTCCTAACTACAGAGAACTTACCATAGCACCCTGCAGCATATCCTTATACTTCACTCCTCAAGTGGAATGATTTCTTATAGATGGCACCCTTCATTTAAAATATGTAGTTATTGAAATATTTGAAAACACTTGAATGACAATAAGAGGCACTGTGAGTCAGCATGGACTTGACGGCAGTAGAAGTGATTCCCCAGGAAGATGATTGGTAATGTTCTTTAACATAATACGACAGTGATGCTGAGGTGAACCAGAGTCATATATAAACTATAGATGCATGAGTGGATTTGGGGCTTGCCCTTCATTCTAGACTCAATCTAAGAACAATACATTCTTGTGCCATGGCCCTGCTTGATGCGTACTCTCATGAAGAGATCACTGAAGATATGGGTGTTATAGCAGTGTGGTGAAGAAATCAAATAGTGCTTGGCTATCAGAAAGAATGGCACCTGGGTCTTAAAGTCTTGTTTTCAAACAAGCAACCACCTAAGTGAGGTGTCAACTAAGTCTATATGGAAGCAGCACACCACCCTGTGTGATCCAAGGATTGTAAATAATATACTTTGAATCTAAAGAAGGGAATGGTATCAGGGCTTAAATTGTGAACACCTGGTTTTCAGAAGACTACGGATGACAGTGGAAAGCCAAATCCATTTACAGGGTCCCATTGTGGATTAACCTTTCTCTGAATCACTCCCTGACCACTTACCAGGGATATGACTAGCCTTGGAAGGAGACAGATTGTGTTGGAAAGTGGACTAATTCAGATGTAGGCAGGTTAAAATTCAATCCCTTAAAATTTGTTTTCTTTTGTGACCCATTTAAAATTCATTCTAGCTTTTATTATTTTTGCTTACTTTTTTATTGAAGTTTTCCTCTTTATTATTGTTAAATTTTTAGAAACATTAATGAAATGGTTTCTTAAATTTATTGGCAGGGAAGATTGGGAGGCATGAGTGGCTAATAATAATGAGTACAAGGAAGAAGCAAATGTTCTAAAACTGATGTGGTGATGATCGCACATTTCTTGATGCGATTGAACTATTGAATTGTATGATATGTATGTGAATTCTGTATATACTGAAGTATAAGCTGACCCGAATATCAGCCGAGGCACCCAGTTTTACTGCAAAAAATGGGCTGGAAAAAACTCGTCTTATACACAAGTATATAAGGTATATGTCAATAAAACTGTTGAAAAATGAATCTCCACTAAGATTAAATTCAGAAAACCAATGGGAAAGTCACCTAAAACATGGTCCTATCATCTTGATGGGCCGCTCTCACTTCCAGCATGATGAGACTGAGAAAATAACAGTTTTCTAAAAGACCACAAGAAAACCTTTTTAAACATTATTATTGCTATGAAGGAAAACTTCATGAGATGTTTTTGCTGAGAAAGTAACGCGGATTTGTACCATGATCTAATCCTAAAGGAGCAATTCCCAGCAGATGAGGGAGAGTCTAGACTCCTGTCTGCATGTCATCTAGGAGCCAACTTCTCTTTCCACAGGGAGGATTCTTCACCCACAAGCCCAAGCACTTTTTTTTTAAAGTGACAGATTATTACACTGTCACTTAAAGGGAATAAATCAAGGACTATTATATGCTTATCACTCCTCCTCTTTTATTGTTTTGTGAGATTTGGTTTCTTCTGGAAATTGGATCATGACAAATTGGGGAAGAAAAGACAAGTAGGAGGAAGAATTTAAGTGATCCAAATGGCTTTGAGAAACTCCATCTACAGAGAATCTAAAGATGCAAAGTAGTCACAAAAATCGGGTGTGCCCGTTGCTAGAATTTAAAACATCCCGAGCTCTGTGAAGTGACCACATACAATCGAAATAGGGTATGGGGATCAGGGTCCTGGCAACAGGCTACATCTTCAGTGCCGATGCAAGAATACTTAAGTAAACCCTCCTCCCCCCAAATCGCTGTATGGTAAATACAGGTATCACATCATTCCATAGTCCAATCACATCAAGCATTAAGTAAACTTTTAGCTAGAAAGGGAACAGAATGGGAAAATAACCAACAATATACTAGCGTTACCTTTGCATCAGGGTTGAATTTTCTCATCATACTTATTTAATCTGTATGCAGAAGAAATAACCAGAGAAGCTGGATCATATGAAGAACTTGGCATCAGGATTAGAGGAAGGCTCATAAAGAACCTGCAATATGCAGATGATACAACCTTGCTTGCTGAAAGTGAAGAGGACTTGCAGCACTTACTGATGAAGATCAAGGATTGTAGCCTTTAGTAGGGATTATAACTCATGTATAGAAAAGCAAAATCCTCACAACTGGACCAATAAGTGACATGCTGATAAATGGAGAAAAGATTGAATTTGTCAAGAATTGGTCTTGCTTGGATTCACAGTCAGTGCTAACGGAATCAGTAGTCAAGACATCAAACGACGTATTGCACTGAGTAAATCTGCTGCACAAGACCGCTTTAGATATTGAAGAGCAAGGATGTTACATTAGGACTAAGGTGCACCTGACATGTTCAGTCACCTCATATTCATGTGAAGGTTGGACTTGAATAAGGAAGACTGTAGAATGGATGCATTTGAATTGTGGCGCTGGCAAAGAATATTGAAAGTACCATGGACTGCCAAAAGAACAAACAAGCCTGCCTGAAGAAGTACAGCCAGAATGCTCCCTAGAGGTAAGGAGAGAGAGAGATTTTGTCTTGAGTACTTTGGGCATGTCAGGAGAGATCAGTCCCTGGAGAAGGACATCACGCTTGGTAAAGTAGTGGGGCAGCAGAAAAGATGAAGACCTTCAACAAGATGGATTGCCACAGTGGCTACAGTGAAGGGCTTACTGACCAGGCAGGGTTTTATTCTGTTGTGCATAGGGTCACTATGGGTCAGAACCGACTCGATGGCACTTAACAATTAATTTTTAGTAGCTTGAAGTTTGCCACAGTAAGGTTAACTATACCATGGAATTCATAAATGGTACAAAATTAGATTTTCAAAATTAGGTATTTTTCTTTCTCAATCCCTTCCTATTTTAAGTTTATTTTTCCCTTTCAGGATGTTTTGCTAGTTTACCATCAAACATAACTATCCACAAGAAATCCTGACGAGCTAATCACTTGTGACAAAGATACTTATAGGGAATTTGGGGGATGATTATTCTTTAAATAAGCATGGGACTTTTTAACATCCATCCTAGTAAGGTTTGATGTTTTATTATTATTCTTGAAATTCCAATTCTATCATGTTGTAGTAGAAAGAATTTGTTTAAAATGATTCCTTGCCCTTCTCCTTTTTTCATTAAAAGCTAGGGAGCTAGAACATACATGTGACAGGAACACTGTCTGCTTTCTAGCAAGCAGACACAGCACCACGATAAACTAGTTAATCACTGCCCAGAGTCAACACCAGAGAGAAACCAGACCTGCCTTTTTGTGAATGACAGTGTTAAAGAATGTAGCCCCTCTTAACTTCTCTGCACCTCATACATACAAATGACCTGTTCTGAGACAACCCTCAATGGTAATCACTTCACACCTCCATTTTCTTTCTTGTTATCACCAAGATTCAACAGTTTGTTTGGGCAATATTCTACCTTTATCTAACTTCTTCTATACAGGTCACACTGATGCAACAAGGACAGGTTTATATACCTCACACGTCAGATCCTATCAAGAAAGTTGGTAGTGACAGTTTGATAAGGACACCATAACTTGTTGAACTTGTTCTAAAAACAACAGCAGCAAACCACTCATCTCCTCACACTTTTTAATGACCTTGTTCTACAGTGTCCCCGTTTTTAGACGCATTACTGACTGTGTGGCCTCAGAGTATACAGGGCACTAGGGGCATGTGATGATGTGCGATTTGACATCACACTATTAGGAAGTCTAGAGAGATTTGTATTTACTTGAATTACCTATGGGAAAACCAGGGGCCCAGGTGAGTCCATTATAACTTTCACCTCACCAACAACGTTAGCCCAAGTTGACAAATGTCTTGTCAGATATTGTGGGAAAAATTGCCAGGAGTCTTCTCTCCTTTCTGCTGTCTAGAATGTCCAACATTGCCAAAGCCAAGGAAGAACAAGGCTGCTCAGACTTCTGTGTTACAGGATCATTTCTAGGGCAAAAATGAAAATAAACTCAAATACATAGAAACTTAGGATCAAACTTAAAGGCAAATTTTCTAACACAGTTTCTTTTTTTTTAAATCTTCAAACTTAAAAAAAATTAATACAGTTCAAACATATTCCTCTCTCTAAAGACTTTACTATGAGCACATTTTATACAAAGTTTAGTAGATAACATATTTCAAACTTTTCTAGAACATTGTTATTGCCATTATCTAGTTATATTCAAATAAATTTTATAACCATGGTGACATTACTTTGATAAGATTTCAATTCTGGTGGAATCTCGGACCTTTCTGATGCTGATATTGTAATTTGATGCAGGAAGGGGAACATTTAACTAATGTGAGCTTTAAATTTTGTCCTTGTTTTGTTCTTGTTCATGTAATAGGTGTCAGTTCCAACCTTATGTACAACAGGACAGAACATTTCCCCACCCTATTTTTTGCAAGGTCTGAGCCCATTGTTGCAGTCTCTAAAGAGCCCCGGTGGCATAGTAGTGATTACACGTTGGGCCATGATCTACAAAGTCAGCAGTTCGAAACCACCAGCAACTCTTCGGGAGAACAATGGGTCTTTCCACTTCCATAAAGATGTAGTCTTGGAAAACCACAAGAGCCACTCTGTTCTGCAAGGGTCGTTGTGAGTCAACAGTGAGTGAGGGAACTGCCGTCGGTCATCAGTCTGTCTCATGGCGGATCATCCTTTTCTTTTTTTGCTGACTCCACTTCACCTAGCTCGCTGTTCTTCCCCAGGGACTGATTCCTTCTGGAATGATGTCTAAAGGAAGTAAGACAAAGTCTCAATTTCCTGGATTCTCACCTAGTCTTTTTTGGCTTGTGCCCTGCAGGTCTATGGTTGCAACGATTCTTGGAAGCATGCTGTACTGGCACACACGGACACAGCAGAGGAGGCACAACAGAAAACCCCCTGGAGTACTTCAGCACAATGGAGCCCGTTGGAAAACCAACTCATTTTGTGGTTATTTGTGAATGTTCATGGATTTTCTTTTCTCAAAATAACCAATGCTGCTTTATTAACTTTCACCGCTACAAAGTGTTCCAGTGTGGATAATGAAACTTATGCACATTTAGCCATTCTCTGGTTGATCCTTTAACGTATACCTTACTACAGGTCTCCCTGATCAATGTGTGAGAATTTCTTTAGGGTATATACATATATCTAGGATTTGAATTTGTGGGTCACTGGATTTGCACATCTTTCATGTCACTGTTGTGTGACAATATTGCTATTGTGTGCCTTGAGTCAGTAACTCACACACAAAAAAACCAACAACACCCAACTTCCTCCCATGTCTCCCACCCTCCCTCCCCCCAAAATCCCAAACCAAGTTCACTGCCATTCAGTCGATTCCAACTCATATCAACCCTACATGACCGAGTAGAACTGCCCTTGTGCCTTTCAGAGACATAAATCTTTACGGGACTGGAAAGCTTCATCTTTGTCTCAAAGTGCAGGTGGTGGTTTTAAACCACTGCCCTTGCCGTTAGCAGTCCAGTGTTAACACAAGCTACCTGGGCTCTCATGACCCTCGATGATGCAGTGGAACTGCTCCACTGGACTTTCCAGGGGGGAATTTTCATGGCGATAGAGCCCCAGGGCTTTTTCCCCATGGAGCTGGTGGGGGGTTAACTAAGGTCCTTTCTGTTCGCAGTTGAGCTCTCAACCACAGCACCCATGGCTCCTTCACAAGGGAAGCACCATTAGCAGTGAGGTTTGCAGTCTTTAACAAGTCCCCAGGTCCACAGTTTTACCTTCAACAGTGGGGTGTGGACAAAAGTCAGCATTTCTAACATGTCCACAGAGGATGGTGCTGCAGTGTTGAATCTGGGCCTCTCCAGTGCTCTGATGAGACCCTATCTGAAAAGCTCTACCAGGTGAGGTAGGTGTGTCATAACTAAAAATGAGCTTGTGTATAATGGTAGCATTCAGATCTGAGAATGGATTAAATATAAACATGTACTGAATAGTCAGTATGGGTATCGTCATTGAAGGCTCACTGCTGGCGTCTTGCAGTGCTGAGAAGGGCAGTGGGTGGGCAAGGCCGCCCAGACAGTTTGAACTGCCTGGGCTGCATCCATAAAACCAAGGTGTGGGTGAAGGTGTGATCATTCACTTGGGGGTTCCTCAACATTGAAGGCATGAAGTTATTGAACCTTACTGATTTGGGTGAGCTCAGATATTTATAACCAAAGGAAGCAACACAAAACAAAAATGACACAATCCAACTTTATATTATATAGTTTTTTAAAAATTATATATAAGTTAGTACTATGGTAACAGAATGCTGAAGGGAAGTAGCCCTCAAATTCTTTTGAAGAGCTGATAAAAGTTGAAAAGGAAGCCTTCACACATTTAATGGCTGAAAGATACCAAAAGGCTTGCACAGCCTGGAAATGGTTAACATGTACTTTGGAAGCAGAGTTATTGTATTTCAGATTTAGCAATAGAAAAGGTCACTTAGGGGAAGAAAGAGCAGGAACCAGTAACTAAAGGCATTGCTAAAGCAATACCACAATTTCTAAAAGAAGATACTTCCCCCTCCAAAACCAACACCCTGAGGTGATGCTCTTGGGAGTAATGGCTGCTCTCAGGGCCATTTATTGCCAGCACGTTCTGGTGCTCACTACTGACATCTTATCTTCTTTCTTTTTTCTCCCGCAGGAGCTTTTTGCTTTCTTCTCGTCGTCTTTTAGTAACTGGGTTCCGAGGGTCGTAGATCTCAAACGTGTCCGAGTCTTGCATGCTTGCGTCTTTCACTTTTCTGCTTTTGTCCTCAAACTGAAGTACATGTGACATCCTAGAGAGGGAGGGAGATGGTTCAGTGACTCTGGCATAGGAGCTGAAAGCAGACATTCTGCACCACACTACCCTCGGCATAAAAAATTGCAACTATAAGGGCACAGTACACCAAGACGCGCTTATTGTTTACTAGTGCTATACCACATGGAAGCCAGCTTCTCCGAAAGCATACATTTGAAAAGCATGTCTGGAGTTCTGCTGGTTTGTGTTTCTAGTAGTGAGCCTCTTTGCCTCAGTCTTTGCTTGAAATTCCTGCCTTAGTGGGCAGTTAAAGGAGCTTTACCCAAAAGTGTTCCTTCAACTATACAATGCGAACACTCAGCTTCAGCCAGGCTGCAGAGCAAACACCCTGCAAAAAAAATCCAGTATCAAACACAATACAATCCAAATATCTGATTTTTTCTCTCCCAGTAGTTAAATGGAATAAAAGTCAGGAATACTCTAAGGAAATTTAAATGTTATGCTCACATGGTGTTATGACTTCCTTTTCGGGGAGGATACTGCATTGGGCTGCTAACTGCAAGGTCAGCATATCGAAACCACCAACTACTCTGTGGGAGGAAAATGAGGCTTTCTACTCCTGCACAGCGTCATAGTCTTGGAAGCCCACAGGGCACTTCTGTCCCACCTTCCAGAGCTGCTCTGAGTCGGCGTGGCCTCACTGGCAGTGAGTTTGATGGGTTCCGTGAGCTAATTTCCTGCCCTTACTGTTGATTACATTAAGTCCAGCAAACCTGCTTCCCCTGCTTTGTTGGCTCTCACTGCTCTTAAGGTATCAGCAGGTGCTTGAGTTATAAGTAGTGGGCAGTTGGGGATTCCTATTAGCGGGGAAATATGTGATTAGACTGTAGAGCAGTTGACTGAGTTTGGAAAGAGAGATGTTCATTTTTGTCCTTTTTGGGGAGGTTCAAACAAAATGATTAAGGATCCCTTTCCCCTCCCCCAGTTATTGAAACACTGTAGTTTTTTGCTTGTTTTTGTTTCTAATGGGCAAACCCAGAACTTCTCAGTCTCACAGCAGATAGGGTTAAATTGCCTCTAGGGCTAACACTCCTAATATGCATCAATTATAATACTCCTTTCCTTTGCGCTGTGCGAGCAGTGCTTGGCAGTAGGGTCTAGCAGAGCTCTCCTCGCTCTTGCTTTGCAGAAGCACAGGTAATGAAGGAGCTTTACTATGTGATAACCTCTGGTGGATATACCCAGATTTTGAGGAATTCTAAACAGGCTTTGGGAGACAAAACGTGACAGTCTTAGTGATCTTACAGTTACTAAACTGCTGCTCACCTTGGCTAACACGGGGAGATGCAGGCAACACATCTCCCATGAACGTCCCGCTCAAGGAAGTTTATTGGAATGCAATGCGCATGAGTGATATTATTACATGGATGCCCTAGCATCTACCTTCACTTATGGAATGAGGTAAATCACACTCAAATTTCTATACTTTAATATTAACACATTAAATTTCATAATTGATCCCTACACATCAGTGGTTCTCAACCTTCCTAATGCTGTGACCCTTTAATACAGTTCCTCATGTTGTGGTGACCCTCCCCCCACCCAACTATAAAGTATTTTCATTGCTACTTCATAACTGTAATTTTGTTACTGTTATGCATCGGGCGACCCCTGTGAAAGGGTCGTTCGACCCCCAAAGGGGTCGCAACCCACAGGTTGAGAACCGCTGCTGTACATGAATATGTCATATCACATGTAAGAACTGCTAAATTTGTACACTAATACTGCTTTACTGAACACCTTATTTAGAAAATGCTCCATGCAAGAGTAGAATCTGTTTTCTTGTGCTTTCATTGAAGCTAGTTAAAGTGCTAGCTTCTCAGAATAAGGTATCGTCCAACTCTTAGGAAAAGATGGATTGTTCTACAGCTACAGCAAACTAGAACCAGCACAAAACAGAATCAAACCTGATTTAGTCAATTAATGACTCACCTTGGTCTAAATGATCAGTGAGAACTCAATTCAGTGAATAAAACCCCTTTCAAAGCCAGCTCCTCCGTGACAGGCTCCTGCTTTCGAAAGTTCATCAATCAGTTGCAAACATCCCACTGAGCTTATTTCTGACAGCCTGACAGCAACAGCCTTTCCTCCATAATAGAGGCTGATGCCAGCCTCCCTCGAAACAACCTGACTCCAAACTCCACATAAGAATTGTTTTGCTTGGGAACATTATGCTTAACAAGCACAGTGCTTCTTTACTTATGTATGTAGCCAGGTAAACCTTGCAGCTTTCCAAATGACTCCGGTGTTGATACCAAGCCAATACTAGGATGTTGTTAGGCTTACATGCCTGCTAAGACAGCTTTGTTCAACGCACATATGTTGCTGGCTTGCTTCCTACTCACAGAGACCCTATGTACAACAGAACGGAACACCACGGTCCTGCGCCAGCCTCACACGTGCTATGTTGGAGACCCGTGTTGCAGCCACAGTGCAAACCCAACTTGTTGAGGGTTTCCTTTTTTTTTCACTGCCCCTTTCTTTACCAAGTATGATGTCCCTTTCCAGGGACTGGTTTCTTCTGATAACATGTCCAAAACAATGATTTTATTTTATTAATATCTTAGAATTTACACATTTCTCCTCCCTGATTTAAATACTATAATATATTGGATCCTAAAAATACAGGCACATTTTTTCTTAACATCCATTTCTAGTATGGACCATCCATGTTTCAAAAATTATTTTTATTACAATTCGTCAATTAAAAGTGTAAAGTGGTATCTAGTTAATGCTGACTCATACCGACCCTATAGGGCATGCTAGAACTGTCCCTGTGAGTTTCTGAGGCTGTAACTGCTTATAAGAGTAGAAAGCCCCATCTCTCTCCTTAGGGGCAGCTGGTGCTTTTGAACTGCTGACCTTGTGAAATCTCAGCCCAACTCATAGCCATGATGCCACCACGGCTCCTGTAAAGTGGCACAGTGGTGGCAAAACATGAAAATGTAATTCATGTCATTGAACTGCAGACTTTCCAGTGTTGTGTGAATGGATGTTTTAGTATATATAGTTCATCACAATAAATGGAATAAAATGAAATGAAGTATAAAAGAGGGCACCATATTCCATTCTATAACATGGGAATCTACAAGTACAGTGAACCCTCGCCACTTCGTGCTTCGACTTCCGCGGCTTCACTCTATCGCGGTTTTTGCGTAACAGCGCATGCTCTGTCATTACTGCCACTGATTGGCTCATACTGTACACGCTTGATGCCATAAATAATATAATAAATAATAAATGATAATTGTAACGTCCAAAATGTTTTACTGTATTTTCCCTTTTTCGTTCAATAAATTGGGTAATACGAGTGTAATAGTGACTAAAGGGTGTTTTTTCATGTCCTCTATGCTCTAACTATGAAAATATTTGATTTACAAATAAGGAATCCTACTTCGCGGAATTTCATTTATCACGGTACGGTCTAGAACCGATTAACCGCGATAAACGAGGGTTCACTGTACTAGATTTAGTTGGCTGTGGAACAAGAAATCAAAACTATACAAAGAACAACAACAGCACAAAGTCTACAAAAAGAAACACATTTTCTTACAAATGCAAAAAAAAAAAAAAAGAGAGAGAACCATAAATTTAAGTAGCTGTCTTTTTCAACTATTTGCTTCATACACGACTACACTAAACAAGTCCAACATTTTGATTAATAACAAACTTAAACCCAGAGGAAAGAAGGGGCTATCGGCTTACAAACTACTTCAGCTTTAATACCCTTATACTTAGCATGGCTGGTTACTCTGCAATCATAATGAATCTTTAATAGAAATCAAAGCATAATCAAAATGCTTCACCCATTTATCTTTCAACATGCTTCGGTCACTTCATCTTAAAAAGCAAAACAAAACAGTTATTATGATTTTCAGCATAATAAACTCCTGACCTACGTGCCTTCATAAATCACAGAGTGCAGAGAATTGAAAGCATGCCCACATTTTACAGTCCCCTGTGAGAATACACATGCAGACTTACAATACAGACTTAATTCGACTACATACGGGTCTGGTAGTTTACAATCTTGCATGTCCCAATAACTCAATACTATCTGCTCTGTGGCTGATTATGGATTTGGCCCGACAAGAGCAGTGAATTTTTGGGAATCATTTATACACTGATCATTTACATATGAAAATTTTAAACTTGTTCACTTGAAGGCAAAGACAAAAATTTAATTCTGAATAGTAAAATAGTTAACCTGGGTTCTGATTCTCAATCACTGACTTTAATTTAGAAGTATGGATGCTTATCCTTTTCATAAAGTCTGTGCATGGCAGGTAACTTAAAAAGAATGGAACTGTGTGATCCCTGAACAATGAAGGAGGTTAGGGGTGCTGGACCTCCGGCAATTGAAGTGGACTCTCTCAATTTAACTACTAATAGTTCACTGCTGATTGAAAATCTTACCACCAATAATATTAGCAGTCAAATAATACATATTTTGTACGCAATTGGTATCATATACTGCACCTACATGAAGATGTGTTTTCAATATGAGATCAAAAAGTATTTTACAAAAAGTGCAAGGTTTTCATGCCTGCAGCGTCACTGCAGCAACAGCCTCAGGATTTCCTTTTCTTGTACAAGGGCTCTTCCCCAGGGTCCCTTTCTCTTGAAATGGCAGGCACCCCGGCGGGAAAGCACAATGGACAGGCCACATCAAGTCACTCAAGTTTTCTTGTCATGTCCCCTTTCTTCTCTGCTTCTTGGGAACACTCCCAGCACCACCGTGGCACCTTGTAGGGTCCCATAGTTCTATGCAAGGCTTACAACACGGCACTGAATACTATGAGAAATACACGAGAGCCCCAAGAGATAATTTTTTTAAAAACTGTAATATGTAATTTACTGGAGAGATGAACTGCTCGTGTAGAGATAATTAGCAACAGACGGTGTTTTTTAAAGAAAACCTTATCTCAGTGGACCCATGTAGTTCCAACCTGTTCAAGGGTGAGCTGTATAAATACA